ACTGAAACCTTTCAGGTTCAAATTGAGGACTGACACTCAATTTTTGTCAACATGCCTCTCCTGTCAAATAGTGGCAAATCTTCAAGTTTCATCTCAGCCAAACCTTTAATCAATATCTCATCCTTTCACTTGCTGTGTCCAGCCCTCTCAACCTTTTCAGTGTTTTGCTCTAACCTTTGTGACTCACTTTGCTCTTTTCATCCCTAAATCACCTGAAACTTTTGAATTATCGACTGAACTTCATAAGAGAAAGGTATTAAACTATTGCATGATGGTAGCAGATTGAATATACATCAGCATTACGTTTCTACCATTCCAGTGCCAAGATTATTTGAGAAAGGCTTTCAGGGGTCCTTTTCACTGTATATATAGGAAGCCTGGCAAAACTTTAACCTTAAAAATTGGCATTGATTTTCTTCCCTTGATTTCACTGATTAAATGCTTCTGAACGGACACTTTAAGCTGTCTCATAGCTGAGTAACTGACTAATATAAAATCAACTAATGACAGGACTTATAGGACAAGGCTTAACTGTTTCTGATTGTGCCTCATTGCTGAATTGAGAGAAACCACTATGGGTTATTATCTGCTTCGTTTGTTTCTGGTTTGCAGCTGTGCGAACACTCTACAATACGAATTTGAACTCTGACTGCAATCACTTTGTTCTTGTTTTTGATCACTGAAATTAACTTTGTTGGAACAGCACAAATGAAATGCCAGGATGAGTAGAACAGTTAGTCAAGATACTAATATACTTATAGCACCTAGTTTTCCCGGTAAACCAGCAATATCTGTATGTAATGGAGTGAGACTAATAATACTGAGCAGTGTTAGAGATGAGCAGGATCTATTATTAGAGTGTCAAGTATTCTTTGATTACATTCTTTTCAGCTTCTTCTATTTAATATGCTGCTAAGAATAATGCATCATCTCAAATTCACTTCAAAAAATGTAAGCAGTGAAGTGGCTGAAACAACTTTCCTCTAATGCTTAATTAGCTTATTACCAATTAAGGGTAACAGGTGGAATGTATGAAACTTTTTTAAAGAAGGAAGCCAAATAAATTGTGCTAGAATTGGCTTGCTATCTATCTAGTGCTGCAAGTGAATGGTCTTCCTTGCACTGAGCTCTGAGTTTGCATTGGAGTTGCTTATGTATATAAAAACCCCTTGACTAGGGCCATCATATTTTTACCCGAAGCTTAACATTTACAGGAAAACGAAAAAACAAAACAAAAACAAAGAAGTAGTTTCTGATTAAAATGTGAACATTGTTATTCTTACCACAGCTTGAGGAATGGGTATTTTTATTGTCTGGGGTTGGTCTGATTCCTCAGCCATTGGAGCCATCTTGTGTGAGTTCTTGCCTTGGTCACCATTCTTCTATCATCATAAGCTTCAGGAATCCTACATTTGAAGACATAGTGTTGGATGTCTTTTTAACAGGTACAGTAGATTTCTTTTATCATTATGCAATATATGTTGAATGCTTAAGTCCTTATTGTTCAGCTGAATTCAGTATCCAAACATGTTGCTTTGCCCAAACAATAGGGGGTTGAGCATTCAGCACATACTTTAATTTGAGTGGAAATCTTTGCCAGCCCACAGGCAAAGAAGTGTGTTTTCTTCTTGGGCACAGAAGGATTTATCTGTATTTACAGTTGGTGAACTAAGTTCCCCGGGGGGGGGGGGGATATCATTGCTGGATCCCTCCAGCTCTAGCCAAAGTAGGAAACTACAAGGAAAGCAGCTTACCAGCAAGGGTGCATCTTTTGCTAACAAGCCAGAGCAGGTCGGGTAGTAGACCAGGGCCCCCTTAAACGGTTCCAAGTCAGTTCTCCTTCTGTAACTTGGATTGCTTTTGGCGATGGGCCACTTTTGCCTTACTTCATCATTTTGTCTGACAGCATGTTGGTCTCTACTGGATCAAATGCTTGAAACTACTATTATATGTTCAACTGTTTCTACAGATACCTGGCACCATGGGAGCAATAAAGCACAGCTTCAGAACAAATAAAATTCCACTGCAAAGCATCCATAGACAGGTTTTAAAAAAACAAAACCCTAGACAAATAAACAGGTTTTCACCTGGCCCCTAAAAGAAGACAAAGACTGCCCTAGGCAAGTCTAAAAACAGGGTGAGGTTAGACAGTACTTCCCTCACCTCAAACAATGCGTGGGACTTAATGCTCTGATGTTAAATTTAATGAGTCTAGGGCAGTGTTTTCCAACCTTGGTTCTCCAGCTGTTTTTGGACTACAACTTCCATCATCCCTAGCTAGCAAGACCAGTGGTCAGGGATGATGAGAACTGTAGCCCGAAAACAGCTGGAGACCCAAGATTGGGAAACACTGGTCTAGGGATTATTCCTTATCATGCAGGCAGTGACTGTTTTAGGTGCAACTGATGTGTATGTTATCTCCCGCTTAAACTACTGCAATGTGCTCTACGTGGGGCTACCTTTGAAGGTGACTCGGAAACTACAACTAATCCAGAATGCGGCAGCTAGACTGGTGACTGGGGGCAGCCGCCGAGACCACATAACACCGGTCTTGAAAGACCTACATTGGCTCCCAGTACGTTTCCGAGCACAATTCAAAGTGCTGGTGTTGACCTTTAAAGCCCTAAACAGCCTCGGCCCAGTATACCTGACGGAGCGTCTCCACCCCCATCGTTCAGAGGTCCAGCGCCGAGGGCCTTCTGGCGGTTCCCTCATTGCGAGAAGCAAAGCTACAGGGAACCAGGCAGAGGGCCTTCTCGGTAGTGGCGCCCGCCCTGTGGAACGCCCTCCCATCAGATGTCAAAGCGATAAATAACTACCTGACATTCAGAAGATAAATAACTACCTGACATTAAGGCAGCCCTGTTCAGGGAAGTTTTTAATCTGTGATATTTTAGTGTATTTTTGGTTTCTATGGAAGCCGCCCAGAGTGGCTGGGGAAACCCAGCCAGATGGGCGGGGTACAAATAATAAATTATTATTATTATTATTATTATTATTATTATTATTTCCACGACTGCTCTCATCACGCCAAACCTGGAAGTGACCATGTCACAAAAGGGGGCAGAGTGGGGTGGGGATGGGGTGGAACAGGGTAGGATGGACTTATACAGGACCTTCCGATGTGCACAGGGATCCAGAACATAACCCGTGCACCAACTGGTTGCTACCAATATGGCATTAGTGAATTTTTGGATAAAATTCTGTTGTTCTAATCTATTATCTGTTGTTGAGTGCAGAAGACCTATATCTCAGTGGTAGAGCAACTGCTTTTCATGCAGAAGGACCCATATACAATCCCTGAATCCTGCAAGTGGGATTGAGAAAGAACTTTGTAACCCTGGAGAATCACTGTCAGATGGGCCAGTGATCTGACTTGTTACAATTCTTCTTTCTCTGATGGGACAGTGAGGAAGACATTTCTTGAGCTACAGGAATGTTTCCAAGTACAGTGGTACCTCGCAAGACGAATGCCTCGCAAGACAAAAAACTCGCTAGACGAAAGGGTTTTTTGTTTTTTGAGCTGCTTCGCAAGACGATTTTCCCTATGGGCTTGCTTCGCAAGACGGAAACGTCTTGCAAGTTTGTTTCCTTTTTCTTAACACCGTTAATACAGTTGCGACTTGACTTCGAGGAGCAACTCATAGAACGCGGTGTGGTAGCCTTTTTGGAGGTTTTTAAAGACTTTGGTGATTTTTGAAGCTTTTCCAAAACTTTCCCGACACCGTGCTTCACAAGACGAAAAAAATTGCAAGACGACAAAACTCGCGGAACGAATTAATTTCGTCTTGCGAGGCACCACTGTAGCTTTAAAAATACACCTTTCATATGGCTCTGAAATGCAGCTGAAGTGAACAGACTCTCCTAAAAATTATTCAGTAAATCTGAAATATTTAATCTCTACTTCCTCCACCCACTCTAAATGGGCTCCAAGCTTACGTGACCCTTTCTATATCGTACTTGGTGTCTGTGTGTTTAAGACTCTATTTAGTGTGCCTGGGTAAAGCCTGGAATACGTTTGGGGCTCTCCTTCTGTGTACTCTGGGGACCAAGATGAAAAAAGAGCATTAAAACAAACTGACAGACTGCCAAGCTGCCTCCTCCTTCAAGAAATTCCTTCCTTCTGAACACCACTTATCGAGACCAGTTAATATTGTGTTGGATTCAAAGATGTGTGAGTGAAATGAGTTTGCTCATTAGTGCTATTCCATGATTTGGTACCCAAGCGCTGAAGGAAGAAACAGTTCACCAAAGTATTTGGAGATGCATTGCACAATACAATACACCTGTCTGTACATGGGATTAACACAATTCTGCACTGAAAAGCAAGCACTAATGGTTGATGTTCCCCATTGGAACACTAGGATTGCTCTGCCATGAGAAACTGCATGAACCCCAGGCATTTGGGACTTGAATCAGCCTTTTAGTTGACCCAGGATATTTTTAAAATCTGAACCATGTGTAATGCACATGGTTAGGAAATGGCTATCAACAGTTTTATGCTGCAAGCATATTGATGACCACATTTTTGGAAAGAAGAGATGTGTTACTATTACACCATTTCATTCCGCACCATTTAGAAAACAGCATGTTTTGTCCTGATTTATCATTCAAGTCAGTATCTCTTCTGATTTGCACAGCAACAGAACTATTATAAGAAGCAAACCGAGTCTAAACACTGTGCCAAATGGCGTATTTAGAAGTATCATTGTATGGGGCTGCTATTTGTAATGTGCTTTCTTAAAACAGTTTCCACAGAAATGATATAAGAAGCGACCTTCAATATAATCCCTGCAGAAATCATGTGCACAGATGAATACTATTGTGGCAGACACCAAGCAAACTTGGGAGAGAAAGGCACAGTAAGAAGAGGAAGCAAATAGGAACCTAGGACACATCTTATACAGAGAAGGACCATTAGTCCATCTTCCTCAGTATTGTCTACACTGACTGGCAACAGTTCTCCAGGTTTTCAGACAGGGGTTTCTCCCAGCCCGGCTTGTTTATGGCAGGGATTGAATCTGGTACCTTCCGCATGCAGAGCAAATACTCTAACCACTGAACTATGCATGGCCTTTCTCCTAAACAGATCAAGAAGCTAAATGCATTTAGGTTTACATAATGATTCACAAGTAACTACTTGAATCTTTGGCTTCAGGGTTCAGGGAACATTATTTTGCAAATAGACTATTCATTGTTGTTTATATTTTTGTACTATCTACATTAGGTTCATAAGACTGCATGGTTTGGTTGTTGGAATTCCCCAACATATCAATCCACATCAACCTTTGACCTCCAATTGCTAAAGGCACCAAGACCTAGATTTTTCCTCTGCAACACTTACCAAATAGCTCTATCATTGTTCTGGGCAAATAAAATTCTGGACTTGTAAATTCATTCATACAGTAATATTTAAACATGTTTATCTGCATAAATCGGGATTTACATATTGGTATCTCCTCACAGGGGGAAAATACATTAAATGTGCAACTGGCATTTATGCTAATAAGTGCTGAACTAAAAGATTAATGTCTCTGCAATTACTAATCAGTTTAGGAGAGTAATTGCTCCATCTTTGGGATCTGACTTTATCTACTTGTGTAAGCATCTTAAGCTTAAAGCAGATCTCTGTAGCAATATTTGGGGTTGTTCACTGCCACAGTATAGCAGCTGCCTCATCCTTTGCATTCCTAAAGCTAAAACTATTTACAAAACATAATTGTATGCAGTGTAGCTTGGCCACCCCATTTTCTTGGTGAAATAGCCGTTTTGCTTAAATTGGTGTGGAAATATTTTCTGACTGCTCTTATGCTTCTCTGGGAACTCTTTTAATTTCTGTGAAGTATTCAGCAGAACTAAATGCTGGATTTGTAGCAGTCTAGTCTAAACTTCTTTTTGTTGCAGTTTTTCCCTCTGGGTAGTTGGTATTAGAACCTTCAAAGACCATTTAATTCAATATACATAATTAAGAGCAAATAAACATCACATTTGTTGAAAACCTTAACTAAAACATTTATTTTGAGCATAACTATAGTTCTGTTTTTAACCATTGCATTATATTTATTTACTCAATATATGCCAGCACACTGTTATAAAATAGCATGGTCCTTGTTTTAGGCAGCAATTCTTTGTACACTTACCTGTGAGTGAACACAACCGTAATTAGTTCAGAGTAAAACGTACATAGGATTCTGCAGGTAGGCAAGATATAGATTGGAATTCAGTGTTATCTGTAGAATCTTATCAGTTTGTCAGACAGAACGATCCCTCTCCTTCCCCTGCGTACTGTTCTGGGGGTTTTTCCTGACCCCCCCTTTGAGCCAGTTTTGGCAGCAAACGGAGGGGGAAAGTCTTGTTGTAGTAGTGGGAGTCCTTCTACAGGACTTTTGCTGATAAGGCTTCTTAGGTGAACCCCACCCAAAATATTCAATAACTGTACAAATACAATTTATCAAAATTTTATTTCAAAAACTAAGTTTGGCAAAGAATAAATATTTCCAGGCACTAGCAAACTGTCAAATACATGAACAAATACCCAGAAGAAGTAATTTCTTATAATCTCATTAATCGATTATCTGGGACAACATATTCCGAAACACACTGTTTGTTTAAGAGCAATCCACTGCTTTTGTAATTTAAGAGAGAAAGACTGCTTCTTTGCCTTTGTACAGTGTCAGCCAGGTGCACGTGGACTAATATTGTAATGTGAGTTAGGTCATTTAGAGTCTCATTTCCAGTAGAGTTGGAGAAAGCATATATTCAACTCTTACCAGTGTTGCTCTGTATAACAATCTGCTAGACAGTTTGACAGTGCAGATGTAACATCATTTGATTCTTGACAGCCTATTTTTCCACTCTCACTGTAATTTTTTTCACATGTGTCATTCACCATACCCGGTACAATGTTGCTGAAATTGGTTTTCCATTATAGTCTTTTTGGCAATCACTGTAAATGTCAACTCAACTAATTAGGTACCTATCTGTTGCTGCTGTGATCACCTTCACATTCCCAAGTTTGAGATAAGAGTTGTAGTAAAGACCAGTATTGTAAGTTTTCGGAAAAAGAGGTTGAGATGAATTAATGGATGGTATGACAGTTAAATTGTCGCGTTAAATCATGCAAAGCAAATTTGTGTACAAGTTATAAATCTTTGTAACTATGGGATGTTAGGAGGGAAGGGCGAGTTGGTTCTTTGCATAATTCAGCCTTGTAAGTAAGCCTCCAAAGTTGCTATCCTGAATTTTTAACTAATCTATTAAGAGGCTAGTAGGCTGTGTTACCATTCTGGCCACTGGGAATGAGAAACCTGAAAGTGCAGGCTTCCAGCTCATTATTAAGTTGCTGTTGATCAAGCAGACTGGTGGGGCTCGGGAGTGGGGAGAGGGACGGAGCCATCCTTCCATTCTAGCCCAGTGCATTTCCATGGTAACCATGGAGGAAATGGACCTCCCTCCTTGTGGTTAGCACAGATACCAAGCAGGCTCAGGACTGCCCAAAACATTTTGGCACCTGAGGTGAACCAGCAAAGGGTGCCTCCCTCCTTGCCAGGGAATAAGGGGTGAGCGAAGATCTACATTGGAATCTGCTACCCCTGTGGATCCTGCTGTCTGAGGCAGTTGCCTCACCTGGCCTTATATGTGGGCCATCCCTGAGCAGGCTGCTGGAAAAAGAACACAATGAGCCATCCCTTCTCCACCATCCTATTCACTTACCTTCATGGAATTCCTGGTCACCTATGGCTACCATAGAGGCTGTTAAATATAAGGTAGACATAGTTCTCCTGTTATTTGCCATTCGCTCCCTCAAAAGCTAGTCAGCTTGGCCTGTTACCATATATTTCCCTCCACGCCATGGCCATTCTAATGAAAACCACATATTTATTAGCATGGTGCTAATAACACCAAGGTTGCAGGTTTGATCCCCATATGGGACAGCTGCATATTCCTCCTGCATTGTAGGGGGTTGGACTAGATCAGGCATAGGCAAACTCGGCCCTCCAGATGTTTTGGGACTACAACGCCCATCACCCCTAGCTAACAGGACCAGTGGTCAAGGATGATGGGAGTTGTAGTCCCAAAACATCTGGAGGGCTATGTTTGCCCATGCTTTGACTAGATGATCATCAGCGTCCCTTCCAATTCTATGTTTCTATGATTCTATATATTCTGTATGAAAATAGGTGATGTTGCTTGACTTATAATATAAATTCATTATTCCTTGGCTTGGAATATAAATTTCAGCAGTGAGTGACTGCTCTCAGTTCGAAGGCAAGCATTATGGCATATCAGTTCTTCTCTACCTTGAATTTTAAAGAGAAGAAGTCCCAACTCACTTATCTAACAGCTGCAGTGTCTACTGTAGGGTAAAATGTCTCTCTTCCCCATAATCTGTAATCCATAGTAGCATGGCAGGTACTGGGGATTGTGTTTCTCTCAATCCTGCTCTCAAGATTTGGCCTTTTTGGGGGGCCATTACACTGTTAATCAATGGTGAGTCTGACTTAATAATAATAATTTTATTTATACACTACCCAGCCACTCTGGGCGGCTTCCTTTTGCTGGGCTGCCTGCAACTGGGCAAATGGCATTTAGCCAGCAGTGAGTTGGTTTTGCATTTTGGCTGAAGGGCTCCCTGGTTGCACTGTATCCTAACTGCCTCCAGGCTGGCAGATTGGAGTTTGGATTGCCCAGTGGTAATTCATCAGAGTTTGTATAACTTTATGTTTGCTGATTATCAGATCAAATTAATACTGATAATTTTCTCACTGCTGCAACACCAATTGTTTCTTTCTGGTATCATATTTTTCCATAGCTATGTATTGTGTGAGACTGAGCTTTATTTTTATTTTGTTGGTCGTCTCGCCATGTAGTACAGTCATAATTAAATTTGATCTATCTGGGATGGATTAAATCACTTGTCTCCAGAAACTTCTATGCAGAATACAGCAAGAAGTAACATGTTGAGGTGCTGCAAATAGGCCTTTATGAATTTAGTTAAAATTTCAGTTTGGAATATAATTTCATAGAATTGGAGAGTTGGAAGAGACTCTGAGCGTCATCTCATCCAACTCTGTGCAATGCACGAATCTCAACTTTCTGCTTTAAAACCTCCAAGGAAGGAGAGTCCTTCTTTGCTATATATTTTTAAAGAACAAACATGTTTGCACATCCCTTTTCCAAAACTTTGGTTTTAGGGGGTATATTATTCCAAATAATTTTAATAGGATTCCATGAGCAGCTGTAGTCATTTTTGGCATGCATAGGAGAACGATTAAAAGGCAGAGAGACCTTAAAAAACTGTCATCTCCTATTTCAAAGTATACTTTGAAGAGCATTCATCAGTTCTTACATTAGAACAGCCTTTGATCACATTTCAACCTCCAGTGAATTCCTTTCCTTGAATGTGACATTGAAGCATAACAGAATTTTCTTTTTCTTTCCCTTCTTTTTATTAGATCAGGAGCATGTCATGCATAATCCCCATGCATCTGTATCCCACCATTCCAATAAGGACAGCATTTTCTGGCTTTCCCTCAAGCAAAAACAAGGTACACAATTGTATGGTTTATGTATGTTTTTGCAAAGTGATCTGCATAACGATTGAAAATATATATTCATTTATGTAGCTTAATTCCCATTTAACGAAACAATAAAAGCACAACTGCTTTGCTCTATTATATATTGTAGCGGTGGGACTCGTATTTGTTTAACATGGGTTGGGAGCTGTCCTCAAATTAGAGCAGGCATAGGCAAACTCAGCCCTCCAGATGTTTTGGGACTACAACTCCCATCATCCCTAGCTAACAGGACCCATAGTCAGGGATGATGGGAGTTGTAGTCCCAAAACATATGGAGGGCCAAGTTTGCCTATGCCTGAGTTAGAGGAAGTGTGGTCCACGCAGAAAATGTTGAGAAGGAAATATTCCTCCCAGCATCCCAATTAAGTCTTAGATGAGTATTCATTGATGTGGTTCAGTTATGGTTATGGGTTTGATATATGCTGTAGTCATTTGAGTTTTGCTGGAGAAGAATATACTGGTAGGCAGTCTGCTGCTGGTTCACCTTATCC